ATATAGGATACTGACTGACCATCTGCTTTCTTTGTTTTTCAAAAATTAAACCCACCATTTAGTTTTCGAATTCTTTTTTGAGACAGTCTCCCTCTGTCGCCCAGGCAGGAATGCAGTGGTGTGATCTCAGTTCACTGCAACCGCAAGCTCCCATTTTCAGAGAAAGCCTCCCAGATAGCTAGAGCTGCAGCCATGCACCACCGTGCCCAGGTTTGTTTGTTTGTTTGTATTTTTAGTAGAGACAGAGTTTCCCTGTGTTGCCTGGGCTGGTCTGAAACTCCTGACCTCAAGTGATCTGCCCTCCTTGGCCTCCCAAAGTTCTGAGATAACAGGCGTGAGCCACCACACCTGGCTCCATCATTTAGTTTAGATTTTCCATTTTGGTTTCTTTGAAAAGGAGCAAGAACTTAGACGCTGTGAAACTGTCTAAATGCAGACTCTTTCTAGACTTCTTTTCTTCCCTTCCAGTCTCCAGTTGCCTCACCTATGCCTAATCCAACAGTGTTGTGTCACAGCTTCCTTATTTATATCATCGCACCAAAGCATTCTCCGTAGTCTATAGAAATACCCCCCAAACTCCCTCCCATACTTGTAATTGGCTTATGTAATATATAATCAAATCACATAATTATTAAGACGAATGTAAACAAGTTCTAGCATAGTTTGAGCAGAAGGGTGTGGGAGTGCTAGGGATGAACCTGTTACCCACCAGTGTGTGGTGAGCCGTGGGCACCTGTGACTGTATAAACGGCAGGCACTTGAGGGCCTTTGTCAATCCAGACGTGAGTCAAGTAGAGGTGTTTCAGCAGTGCTTCTGATGTTGTACAATGATGGACATGCCTGTCTTACCATCCTCTCAGATGTGGTCTGGGAACCACTGTGCAGAGGGGTCCCCGAGATCCTTTCAAGGCATCAATGACGTCAAGACCGTTTTTATAATTATGCTAATGGCTGCTTCATTTTTTTCATTCTCATTCTCTAGAAATTTCTCAATTTTACTTTCTAATATGGTAGATATCGGCAGTTAAAATGTATAAACAGTTCTTTTGAGGTCGTCTATGCTTTTTTCCTTTTAAAAACATTTATTTTTTAATTGACGAGTAAAATTTGTGCATATTTATGGTACATAATGTGATGTTTTGATATATGGAGGTGTGTGGAATGGCTAAATCAAGCCATTCACATCTGTACTTTTTAACTAGTCTGTGGCACGGAACGTTTGAGGAAGTCTGCGCTCCCTGAGGATGGCAGCTGTTTCACTTGTGGTTCCTGATGTACTCTTGCATTATCTTTTACGTAGTAGGCACTCAGTAAATATTGAATAAACGTATGAAAATAAAAAATAATTTTTCAAGTATTTATGGTCTTTTAAACTGGGCCAACAAACTAGTTTTAAATAAAGGTTTCTGTATTAATGAATAGGATAAATAATTTACAGTAGTAATATGCAAGCGGGTGCTTTTAAATACTTTGAAAATAAAATTTAGTACCTTTCCTTTGAAATCTTAAGCAGTGTTTTAAAGAAGACAGAAAGTGTGGTTTAGTGGAAAGAATATGAAAATGTGTTTCTATGAGGCTTTAAAAAGAGAGCAGGCAAATCATGCCTGGGGGCTGCATCAGGAGTAAATTGCACTTTAAAAAATTTATTTAAGAAGAGAAGGGGAGAAAGGCGGTAAACAGAGATGTCAGGTTACTTAAAGAACATCCAGTGGGTGGGAAAATTCATTGCTGATGAAGACTTTTTTTTTTTTCCACTTTGGGTACCATTTGAAAGCTATTTTAGGTTTGAAAAGGAAGATATGATAGGCAGAAAATTATGGTTTGAGCAAGCAAATGTTATTGCTCTGTGTGAGTGACCTTGATTGAAGAATAGTGAGGAGAGTGGTAGCCAAGTGGAAATGGGGAGTTGCTGTGGACCTAATTTCTACCCTTGAGCTGTCATATGGAGATGGTTGATAGCACAGACCTTTTACTGAAAATGAAATTCAGCTTGTCCACCCAGAGTAGGTACTGCTAAAGAAGTGAGGAGCATTCACTTATTCAAAGGTAGCTATAGGCTGGGTGCGGTGGGTCACGCCTGTAATCCCGGTACTTTGGTAGGCTGAGGCAGGTGAATCACCTGAGGTCAGGAGTTTGAAACCAGTCTGACCAGCATGGAGAAACCCAATCTCTACTAAAAATACAGAATTAGCCGGGTGTGGTTACACATGCCTGTAATCTCAGCTACTCGGGAGGCTGAGGCAGGAGAATTGCTTGAACCCAGGAGGCAGAGGTTGCAGTGAGCCGAGATCGCGCCCTTGTGCTCCAGTTTGGGCAATGAGAACAAAACTCCCTCTCAAAAAAAAATATAAAAATTTTTAAAAGGTAGATATATTAGTCAGTTTTCACACTGCCATAAAGAAATGCCTGAGATTGAGTGGTTTATAAAAGAAAGAGGTTTAGGGGTCCGCAGTGGCTCCGGCCAGATGTCATGGCGCTTGCGGAGGAGAGGCCATGAGTTCAAGGCCAACCTGAGCAACCTTACAAGCTCTCATTGAATGGCAAAAAAAAAAAAAAGAGGTTTAATTGATTCACAGTATTCCATACCTGAGGAGGCCTCAGGAAACTTGCATTCATGGTGGAAAGCGGAGGGGAAGCAGGCACCAAGGTGGCAGGAGGAAGAAGGGAGAGTGCAGGGAAAAGCTGCCAGTGGGAACTCACTCATTATCACGAGAACAACGTGGGAAACTGCCCCCATGATCCGGTCACCTCCCTCCCTTGAGACACGAGGGTTACAGTTTGAGATGAAATTCGGGTGGTGACACAGCCAGATCGTATCAGCCGCTCTTTTAGTTTCAATGCTGTGTGACTAAATCATTTATTGGCAGGGGTAGTAGTCTAGATTTTTATTTTTATTTATTTTTGTGGGTTTTTTTTTGAGATGGAGTCTTGCTCTGTCACCGGGCTGGAGTGCAGTGGCACGAGAAAGTCTACGCTCCTTGAAGATGGCAGCTGTTTCACTTGTGGTTCCTGATGTACTCTTGCATTATCTTTTACGTAGAAGGCACTCAGTAAATATTTAATGAATGTATGAAAATAACTGGAATAATTTTTCAAGTATGTATGGTCTTTTAAACTAGGCCAACAAACTGATTTTAAGTAAAGGTTTCTGTATTAATGAAGAGGATAAATAATTAACAGCAGTAATGTACAAATGAGTGCAAGTCACGGCAGCCTCCGCCTCCCGGGTTCAAGCAACTTCCCTGCCTCAGCCCCCTGAGCAGCTGGGACTACAGGTGCACGCTATGCCTGGCTAAGTTTTTGTATTTTAGAAGAGGTGAGGTTTCACCATGTTGACCAGGATGGTTTTGATCTCCTGACCTCTTGATCCGTCCGCCTCGGCTTCCCAAAGTGCTGAGATTACAGGCGTGAGCCACTGCGCCCGGCGATTTGTTTTTTTTTAATTGTCTTCCTTTATTGGACTTTCCTCAGGCATTTAAGACATTTGATACACCAGAATTTCCCAAAGCTTGCTATTGTTGTGATAATTGCAGAATTTTTCTTGATAGAACTTTTAGCTTCAGTAAGAGGCAGACTTGAATATAAGATTTTTTTGCTTTAAGAAAATTCACATTTTAATTTTATTAGATAAATTAATGAGAGGAAATTATTTTTAGAATTTAAACTTTAGTATAAAACAATTACAGCTTTTAAGAGATTTTCTTCCTGCCATATTTTGGTGTAAGGTAGTCATGCTTCTCATCATTGCATTTTCTGCATCTACTTGAGATTTGTTGGGAATGCTGCATTAACGGACCCCAGGGACATTGATTGTATACAGTGTATTTGTAATTAGTACGTGCAGAGTCCCCTAGATTTTGGAGACATCCAAAAAGATCACTAGAAAAAGTTGTTTTAGTATAAATCATGTAGACATGGTTCTGTATACATTCTACATTTTGATCAGTCTGTCAGTCTCCCCCAGTGAACTGTATGCTTCTTGAAAACAGTACTGTGTCTTAATCATCTTGATTCCACAATGCCTAGATGGGGCCTTTTGCGTAGCAGACATTTTGCTAATGTTAGTGGAATGAATGAAGTAATTCTCTCTGAAAAGATGAATCATAAATATACTACTGATGAGCCAGGGAATTTCCTGAGTCTCTTCTTAAAACCCAGGTGAATTCTTGTGGAAATATGACTGAATCTTAACTGTTTCTAACCACAGTCATATACTTCCAGGGTATAATAAAGCTGATACCATCATGAGACATTTATATGAGTATCACATAATACGGTACAGTCCGTCAAGCGACCACACCACAGTGCTTCCTGGCTAATAGGCACACAGTAGATGATAGCCTTTGTTTCCTCCTTCTGATTGTCGTAGGTTTTATGTCAGGGTCACTATCAGAATTACTAAAGATAGGGGAAATTGCATTTCTGTTTGGACAAATATAGCAGTTAAAGATTCTGTTTTGATGTGCCCAGGTTTATAATTCTGTAGGAAAACGGAAGTCAGAGCAGCTGGCAGGCTGAACTGGTCTGCAGTATAACCCAGACAGTGGACTGCCCAGTGTCACTGTATTTTCTGGGCGGGCTGTTCTGGTCACAAGGTATTTGAGAACTTTATTTACACACAAACAGTCTTTGATTTAGTGGTTTAGACTAGCGGTGTTTCAGAAGTGACTTCTTTGTCAAAGACAATAGCCTTTATACTCTTTAATTTGATTTTATGCCCTTTGAAGCCACCTTATTTAGAAGGAGGTCAATGTGTAAAGCTCTTGCTGGCAAAGGGCTGCAAGCAGCCTAATAAACATATCTGACAGGAACCCAGTTTGTTACTAGGCCAAGAATAAGGTTTCTGTCTATTCTGACCAGTGAGATTTGTAAAACTTAACTATTTTTTCTTGATTTTTGTTATTAACTATATTTGATTGTCATATTACTGTGTTTAGCGTGTCAATACAGTCTTGAAAGTGATGTGTTATCTCTGAATACGTTTTTTTTTCCCATTTAAGATAAGCTGTCATTGGAAGGAATAGTGGTACAGAGAGCTGAATGCCGACCAGCTGCCAGTGAAAACTACATGCGACTGAAAAGGTTGGTGTTTTCTAACTCCAAGATGACACCTGTTATGTTTCTCTTTGGGGACTGAGACACGTGTGTTGTATCGCCCGGTTAACTGCATGAAAACTGTGGTTATTGCCGAGTGTTTGCTTCTAAAGCTGTTTGGTTTTAAAAGCAAATAAGGGTTTCTTTGGCACTAAAGAACTTTCAGTATCTGGGCTGTTTATTTGAGATATTTTAAGCTCCTTTGTTCATATATCCTGGAATCAAAGTTTTTTAAACTATATTTTCTAGTTGTCTTTAGAAATTTTGATTATGTAAAGACATGTAATAAGATCTTTGTACTATTTTATTTTTCTGGGTATCATTTTTCTATAATAAATATGTATCCAAAATACTGTAACTGGGCCAGGCATGGTGGCACATGGCTGTAATCCCAGCATTTTGAGAGGCTGAGGTAGACGAATTGTTCAAGCCCAGGAGTTCAAGAACAACCTGGGCAACCTGGCGATACCCTATCTCTACAAAAAGAGAAAAATTAGCCTTGTGTGGCTGAGATGTGAGGATCGCTTGGGCCTGGGAAGTGAAGGCTGCATGAGCTGAGATCATGCCACTGCACTCCAGCCTGAGTGACCCAGTGAGACCTTGTCTCAAAAAAAAAAAAAAAAAAAAAAAAAAAAATTATATTGTATAAAGCAAGCATAGTTGCCGGAGTATCATCCTATTCTCTTCATCTTTAGAGAAATTTTTATAAACTTTATTAGATAAGAGAGTTTGTTTTAGAATCTGCCCCTGCCCCCTACATTTTTTATGTGGTTAATATTTTGTAATTAGTATTTGAAGTTACTGATTACAAATTCTTGATACTCCAAATTTTATGACATTCAAAGAATCAGCAATTTTTTAAACCCCGAAGAAATGTGTTATACCTGTTTCATAGTTTATTTTTAATGTGATTTAGCTCCATGTGATTTAGGATTATACTTTTTTCGTTTATTCATTCAGTTCTTACTATCTGCCAGGTGCTTTTTTAGGAGTGAGAGAAATAGCAGTAAACAAAGCAGACACAAATCTCTACACAGCTTCCGCTGTAGCACATGGAGGTGCACTGAGTCGGAGTGGAGAAGACACTGCCGAAGCAGTGGTAGCGGCCCCCTGGGTATCAGCATCCTCATCTAGAAAAGGGGCCAGTTGAGCTGCATCATCTCTGCATTTTGCGGCATCTTTAAAAGTTTCCCTCTTTTGTCAATTAGACTCTAGCTCCTGAGAATGACATAGACTTGCTCTCTTGTCAAATAATTTCTCTAATTTAAATGCTTCCTTGGGGCAAATAAAAGAATGACAAACAAAATGAAAAGTATTTGTCACAGAAAATGGCTTTGGAAAACAGGCAGAAGATGTTTCTTTTATTGTTTTTAGTTTATACAATTCATTATATAATAAATTTTTGAAGTCTTTTTGAAAATTTATCTCTTCAGATAACTACTGAAATTGAAAAATGCAAAATTTGGTTACCAAGCTGCTTACCAAGATCTTTTTCTATGGCCCTAATTTTCTTTAAAGGGTCCTAAAGATTTCTGATGATGAGATCAGACAGGTCACCTTCTGTGTTTATAAAACGGTGCTGCTATTTTCCTACCAAAAAAAGTGAAAATTGTTTAGCCTTTTAAATGTGCTGAAAAATCAGCTGTTATGTAGTCATGCACTATGTAAGGACGTCTTGTGGTCTCATAAGATTATAATACTGTATTTTTTCTGTTCCTTTTCTGTGTTTAGATACACAAATACTTAAAATTGTGTTACAGTAAAGTTGCCTACGGTATTCATTACCGTAATGTGTAATGGTATACATACCGTAATGTGTATACCATCAAGGTTTGTGTAAGTACACTCTGTAATGTTTGCACAGCAATGGAATTGTCTAACAAGGCATTTCTCAAAAGGTATCTCCATTGTTAAGCCATGTATGGGAGGCTAAGGCTTGAGTCCAGGAGTTTGAGACCAGCCTGGGCAATATAGAGAAACCCCATTCATACAACAGCAACAATAACAACAACAATTAGCCAAGTATGGTGGTACACACTGAAGTGGGAGGATGGCTTGAGTCCGGAGGTGGAGGATGCAGTGAGCTGAGATTGCACCACTGCACTTCTGCCTGGGCAACAGAGCGAGACCCCGTCTAAAGAGAAAACAAAAAGTGCTCGAATAATTTTTTAAACCCAAAGGTTTTATATATATATATATTTTATTTATATAAATATTTTATATATATAAAACCTTTGAGTTTTAAAATATATGTGTGTGTGTGTGTGTGTGTGTGTATATATATATATATATATATATATATATATATCTCCTTCTTGTGAGCTCTCTGATATTTTCACTTTAAGAAAGGGGAAGCACAGGAGTTTTTTCAGTAGCTAAGTGTTGTCTTACCCTGAACATCTCTCGTTTTCTTTGGAATTCCCCGTCTCTTCTGCCTGTACTCTTGTGTTCCTTGATAGTGACTCTCCTGACATACCCAAATGTGTGATTTTTTAATATATGGGGCTGTAAGTCTTTTTTAATCAAAGGTATGTATGTGTGTGTGTGTTGAGAGGTGTCTCGCTGTGTTGCCCAAGCCGGAGTGTGGTGGCATTATCTCAGCTCACTGCAACCTCTGTGCCCCCGGGTTCAAGCTATTCTCCTGCCTCAGACTATAGAGTACCTGAGATTATAAGCATGTGCCACCACGCCTGGTAATTTTTTTGTATTTTTAGTAGAGACGGGATTGCTCCAAGTTGGCCAGGCTGGTCAAGTGATCCACCTGCCTCAGCCTCCCCAAGTCCAGGCTGGTCAGATGATCCACCTGCCTCAGCCTCCCCAAGTCCAGGCTGGTCAAGTGATCCACCTGCCTCAGCCTCCCACAAGTGCTGGGATTACACGCATGAACCACTGCATCAGACCAAAGTTTGTTTTTGTTTTTAAGACTTTAGAACAGGAAGTTCCTTGAGGGAGTCTGGCTCATCTTATTCTGCTGCCACTCTAACTCAAGTGTGCACCAGATCAAAGCCAGCCTTTCCCACTCTTCCCCAAGTGCATTAAGTGTTCCACGTCCCAAACGTCCGCGGTGCTCTTGGTTGCATTAAAATTCAGCTCAAATGGGAAATCTCCCTGACGGTTTATTCCACACAGCGTAAGTACCATGTCCACCAAACTCCTGCTACACTTTTTTTTAAAAATAAACCATTAATCACATTTCGCTTTTTATTTTACTCTTAATACTTTTGTTTATGTCTCTGCTAGATTGTGAGCTCCTTGAGGTCAGGGACTATGTCTTGTTCATCTTCATTCTGACAGCTTTATCTTCAGTTAACACTAGCAGAGCAACCAAAGATTAGCATTTTAAAGTTAAGGATTTATAGTCATACCTTGGTAATGAATCTCCAGAATTGATACTCTTTTTTAGCTGTGTTTAAAATTCAAATTATAAATCCTGAGAAGCAGTATTGGCATGTGGTGGTGTTTCTACAAAGCCTCACAGCTTTGCAGGATAAAAATACCTCAGCACACAGTTTCTCTTTGTTCATTCACAGTCGAAAATCAATAGGGCTAACCTGAGGCAAAATTGTGAAGTATGGAAAGTTTGTCTTTAGTATCCAGGCATTTCCTTGTTTCGCTTTTTCCCTTTAGCAATGTCTGTCTTTAGGCATCTACTTTTTATCTTGTTCTGATCTTTTCTAGCCTGTCCTTTTTGAATACATTTTAAGAATGAATGGGCATAAGTCAAACTGGGTATTTGGTTTTAAACCTTTTATTACTAAGTGTGGAATAAAAGCCATTACCTGTTGGAGGAATTTGAGTAGGCAGATCCCCCCCGCCATGGGAAAGAAACTTACTGAAGTTAAACCATGTATAGATTGGCCCCAAACACAAATTTAAGGAATCGTTTTAGTCTGCTGGAGCGTTTGTCACCAGGACAACCAACTCTGTTTCGTGGGCCAAATGGGCAGATCTGACCTAGCTGCATTTGTGGGAGATCTGTTCTGAGGATTTAAAATGAGTGCTGAAGGTGACCCACAAAAGTGGCCAAATTCCCTTAGGCAGGACCAGGACGGTCACTAACTAGTCCATATGGCATCTTTGTGCATATTAGAAAAAGGTGCTCCTTTCTCAAGTGTTTTATTTTTATCCGTCAGAAAATTGTGGTAATTTACAGATTTTGTTAAACAAGAAATTGCTGCCATCTGCCAGAAAGTTAACACTATAATTGCCGTCACTGCTGTGAATGCGCCCCTTTGACACATCATTGTGCAAAATCGGCCAATCTAAGAAGGGGCTGCACCCTCCAGTTTGCGGCAGGCCGTTGTGTCCTATTTTCTTACCAGTTTACTTAAAAATTTTTAAATAATGCAGTAATTGAGGACAACCCATATTAGGAAAAAAAAAAAAAGAAATTAAAACAAAATTTTTAAAAAATAAACTTGCCTGTCCTTACAGGCACTGGAATTTTCAATTCTTGGTCTTTGATTTTTCTGAAATATTTGAAGATGCAGGAAAGATACCACATGTTCTTTTCAAGAAAAGGGATCTCATTTAGGAAATTGGTGAGGTGCTGAATGGTCTGGGGTTGTTAAATACGGTTAATCAAGTTTAGGCTTTGGGATGATCAGGATTTAAATATCCTTAGTAGCTTATCATTGACAGTACAGGAACACCTGAATCCTAAGTGTGTTACATGCCATCTGTCTTGCTTGAGACTAGTGCAATTGCCATGGGGTGTATTGTAAAAAGACTTGAATTATTTAAGGAATCTTTGAGTTTCTAAGTAGAGAAATAGAAGATGTCAGTTTAAATAAATTAGTTACAGGCAGAATGGTTCAGCCTACATAGTGGGTTTCTCTATGTAGGCTTTTATATGGCTTCATATTATATGAATTAGAAGTTCTGCTTCAGCCTCCTGAGTAGCTGGGACTACAGGCATGTGGCACCACGCCTGGCTTATTTTTGTTTTTTTGTTTTGTTTTGTTTTGTTTTTGAGACAGAGTTTCGCT